GGTATGCCGTTCCAGCTACAGGCATGATGTAAGTGACTCGAGCTATGTTGTTCTCGGTCGTCTGGTTCGGGCTACGATCCTGAAGTTTAGTGTCCTTGTATTTTAATTCAGAAAGCTTATATGTTAAATTTTGCAGACTCTGACTTTCTACTATTTTATTTCGCTGAATGACAGCATCATCATCTTCTTCTTCACTACAAGGAAAATCTACTGGAATAATCGGATAATCTTCTCTAAAGTTCTTCTTTAATGATTCCGAGTTCTGTTCGACCCATTTCTGACTACTATTAGTAATGATGATAATGAAATTTTTCTCGTTTCCCTCAAAGATCTCTTTAAATAAGTTGAACATTTTAAGATCTTCTTCGGTAAATCTGCCTTTCTTTTTAACGAAAGCTATATAGTTGAGCGGAAACTGACGAGTAATAAAATAATCTCTTATCTCTTTGACAGTCTTCTTATACGAAACCTTTCCAGAACAAGCTTCACCTACTCTTATCGTATCGTAAACTATAAATTCATCATTAGTTTTACGCTCTATATAAGAACTCACGCTATCCATAGTATCATTGCATTGTATCGAAACACTCGCACCAACAACACCATAATTAACTACGAATTTATTTTCTTTATGACTAATGTCACCTTGTATCAACATGTTAGCAATTGAGGATTTTCCTTGCCCAGTTGGTCCAAAAAGGATGATACTAGTTTTTTCACTCATGTTCGATGTTTAATTTATGACATAAATCGACTCGACGGATTTTCGGTTCTCAACCTTGAAATAATGGCAAAATTCACTTGAAATTATCGGAAGATGAGTGAGGTGAAGCAGGGACTTAGAAAATAAGCCTTTTAAATACTATTGTCGACTGATTTATACATATTGTTGCACCGATTTAGTTACAATCGAAACATTCACACGAGAAACAAAAAAATAATCAAAGATTTATTGTTATAGCCTCATTTTAGATAATCCTGTAGAACATAATTTCTAAGCTGCCTAAACAACGAACGAACGTGCGTGTTGCCCAAACAAAAAAAAATAAATTTAATAACGATGACGGTAAAGTTTAATACAAAAAAAAAATTCGGTGGTTTTAAATAATAAATTTATTACAAATAGAAGGAAGCATTTGTTACGTTATTTTGTGTAATTTGTGCAATTTGTGCAAACTAATGACGCATTATAACCCTCATCATTTTAAATAAATTTTTTATATCGTTTTTTATAATGACATTTTTTTAGTCACATGATATAAGATGCATATTTAACAGCCCTAGCGTCGCCCGTAAAAAATGGTAGCCAGATTTTATTTGCTACTTATTAGGGGTTGACATATAATAGTGACAATTAGCATTTTTCTCAACAAAAAATTTCTCTGCCCCTAGAATACTTAGTAAATTTAAGAACGGCTGGGATGTGACGCGATGTGACAAATTTGCTAACACTCTTAACTAATCCTAATTCTACCCTAATCTTAATCCTAACTTTAATACTAACGCTAACCCTAATAATAAATACCCGGCAAATAAAATCCGGTTACCATTTTTTACGGGCGACGCTATGTTCGTCTGCATATTTTTTGACTCCAATAATAAAGGTAGGCTTAAAAAAAATGATATTAATATTAATGAGTTAATATTTTGCATTTTTTTTTTTTAATCAATGTGTTATATAACTTATGTTAAATTTGTAATCGGAAAATTATTTTGCAGATAAGATTTTATATAAGATGTAGTTGCAAGACTCGGTTTCTTCACTTAACCAAGGAAATGGAATTGTAGTTGAATCATTAAAAGCAACTTAATAAATTTGTTTCTCTTGAATCGATTCTTTGCTTACAGTTGAATAGTGTGAAAATATCAGATCTTTTATAGCATTATTAATAAATAATGAACTAAAAAGTTGATTGCCTAATATATATATTTATATTTTGAATAAATAGTGATATAATAATGATGAATATTTAGGATAATTTCAGGGATTTAGAAGAAATTAGATTCATATTTTATTATATTATTATTAAATTATTAATATTCTTTTGAATAATAATAATGACAAAAATGAAAATTTGAAATAATTTTAGGGATTTTAGAAGAGAAATGAATCATATTTTTATTATTTTATTATTATTTTTAAGTTTTTTAGATAATTATAATATGATAATAACAAATATTTGAGATGATTTTAGGGATTTTAGAAGGAAATTAGATAATATTTTTAGTATTATTATAATTATTTTATTATCTTTTACATGATTTTTTAATAGGAAATTATTCAATAAATTTTAGTAATTTTTTTTGATCATATTTTTTATATTAGATTTTTATTATTAATAAAAATTTTAATATTTATTAAATTTAATAAATTTAATTAAATAATAATTCTTCACACATGTCTGATTAATAATTTATGTTGAAAATCAACAAATTTAGGTTGATTTATAATATTGATGAGAGCGTTTTAAATCGTGCCAGAAAAGGAATTATTTTAGAGCTACGTACGTTACGAAATGATGAACGGTATTCTAATTTTCTAAATGGTGGAAGAAAATGCAGAATACCCATTTATAATTACTTGAAAAAGAGTCAAAGAACAATATTAGAAAACAAGTATTTTAAATACTATATATTGTTACATTGTTGGAATGATATAACATTCACACGAAAAACAAAAAAAAATACTAGCAAGCATTATAAACCTTTCTTGACGTTTTAAGTAAGTTTATTTCAAATTCTTGAAATTTTACGGACAAAATATAAACTTAGAAATTAATTAACGTTAATATATGAAAAAATTTTCCGTCTTTTTAAAGATCCTTACTAATTTAGCAAAAAGATTGAGATTGGGAGATGAGATGAGATAGCATCTTTATCTCATTTGAATTAAGGTTTAGAATTTTTTTTATAAAATATTAACCAAAGATGAATAACAATAAAAAAATATTTGGTGTGGAGTTTTTTTCACTAGCATTAAATAAATGAACTAAAATAAATAAAATTAGTCCTTTTTATTAAACGTTTCGTCATAGCGTTTATTACAATCGCTTCAGGCGATTGTTTTTGATTAAATAATAGGTTGGGCGTTTTTCTTGTGATTTATTTTCTTTTTTTGGTCTATTTCGTTTTTGCTGCTACGCAATTAAATAATAATCTAGTTACGTATATAAACTAATTCGAATTTTGTTTAAGCGTAGTATTAATGATGGTTGAATTTCTGTATAAATTAAAAATCGATACTATTGTCCATCTTCTTATTTTTACTTAATGACGAAATTAAGCTCGAATAAAAAAGTTAGGACATATTTACTATCTAAAATATCTGATCAATTTGATGCCGTTTATTAGGTTAACTCCGTTGACCATGAACCATTTAATATCTAAAATCCGTTAGCTTAATATATATTTTCTCGTGTAAATGTCCATGCTTCATAAATAACATTAAGATCAGATACTAAGACCATTTTTACGGTATCTTTTACCCTATAAAAAAAAATTTTCCAGAAAATGTTATCGAAAATGTCCGAGTGCATGTGGAAAATGTCCGAGAAATGTCAAAATCGTCCGAAAAGTGTACCAAAACATGGTGGATTTCAGACATCGCGTGATGTCTTGATATTGTCCGGAATTTATACTGAAACATGGTGGATTCCGGACATTATCTAGACACTACAGCAAATTCTGGACAAATTCCAGAATTTTTTTTTCATAGGGAATTATATCTAAATCATTTTTTTTAAAAATACAAAGAATAAGGACTCCTGATTATCTATCCCTCCAAAAAATCCATACGTGATTACGGCATTAAGAAATTAACTACGTGACAAATAATTAATCGAATGGCCACCCAGGGAAAGATCTTCCACAAAAAATTTCACCCCGACTCGGTTGTTGATATTTTCAATGAATTCAATCCGAAGTATTCTCTTTGGCATTGACCGTGCTCCGTATGATCGAATCGTATCGGGTTTGAAACGACATTCATACAGATTCTACCTGACCCGATTAGAATCTAACTCGGATTCGATTCTAATTTTAATGTTGAGTCGGGTTTGATGACCCGGGTCGATTCAATCTGCTCGGAAGCATAAGAAGACTCTGTAATCAAATTAAAATTATTTAAGAAATTATAATTATTATGGTAGTAACATTCCAGCAAAGATTTTACTACAGACATCGATTGCGTTCAATAATAAATCGATTGATAGATTTTTTCTTTTTTTTCTTTTTTTTTTTTTTTTAAAAAAAAAAAATACTTGGAAGCAAATGAGAGTTATTTCACAATTACATAATATTTTACCACATTAATATTTCGTAATTGCATATTCACCATAATTGCTATATATTTACTATAATACTGCTATAGTCAATATGTACATTAAAAGCCCGATTTACGAAACATAGTAAATAATATGATCCGTAACGTGATTTTAATAGCAAACCAATATATTTTTCATTTTTTATCACGCGTGTTAGCAATAATATCACAGTCGATAAACATTATTACATAGAACTGCCTTTTTGATATGCGATTATTTTTAATAAATCGAAGCTGTCTGTTTTACTTAATAATTCCGAAATTTGTTTGCCCAAAATCTTTCACACGAGCATTTTTGTAAGGTCTTACGAGATTCTTTTTCATGAGGAATATAATCAAATTCCAGCATCAAAAATCAATAGTTTCATCAGGACATCCGAAAAATTTTTTTACTAAATTCTCAGAACCTGATTTTCCTAGCAATCATCCCAAGTATTATAATATAAAATCCCAACCCTAAACATTTGCAAGCCATAAGAAAATTTACAAAAAAAAAAACGGCCAGTTTATCATAATTCTTTAATAATAATAATCAGTGGTTCAGTTAATCATAAATTTATTACCGTATTAGCTTCTCTTTTTTTTTATATTTTCGACTGTGTATAATTTTTTATTGTTAAGGAACATTTAGCAATTATATGTAAAGGATAAGCAAAGAAAAATGGAATTTAAAAATAAATTAATTAGAATTTTTTGTTTTCCTTGCATATCGTATGCTTTCATTAGCCGCACTTTTTGCAGCAAATGCTGCAGCACTTGTCGCCGCACCTTTAGCTGCACTTTTAGCCATTGCTTTAAATACAATTTTACCTGCAGCTTTACCCGCAGCTTTACCCGCTACCTTTCCCGCAACTACACCAGCTCGAAGAGCACCAACACTAGCAATATCCATTGCAGCTCCAATAGTTCCATTTACAAGTCTTTCTGTTGCTACATTCGTCTTTCCCAGCTTATAGTACACACCAGAAGAAATCAGATGATATGCTGAACCAGCTATTGGTATTAATTCAATGACTTTGGATACTTTGTTCTCGACCGACTGGAACGAGCTAAGGACCTGAAGTACCGTTTCCTTGTATTTTAAACTGTTGAGTACATCAGTTAAATGTTGTAGACTATTTTTTCGTTGAATGACAGCATAATCAAAATCTTCTTCTTCTTCTTCGTCCCAAGGAAAATCGACCGGAATAATCGGATAATCTTCACCAAAATTCTTCTTTAATGTTTCCAAGTTCTTTACAATCCATCTCTGATCACTATTAGTGATAATTATAATGAAGTTACTCTCACTTCCCTCAAAGATCTCTTTAAATAAATTGAACATGTTACGATCTTCTTCGGTAAATCTGCCTTTCATTTTAACGTAAGCTATGTAGTTGAGTGGTTCCTTACATATAGTAAAATAATTTCTAATATCTTTGATAGCATCCTTATGCGGAATTCTTCCAAAAACTGTCTCACCCACTCCAATCGTATCGAACACCTTAAAATCATCATTATAACTAAAATTAATAGTGACAGTCGCACCAACAGCACCATCATTAATTTCGAACTTATTGCCTTTTTGATAAATATCACCTTGAATCAACATGTTGGCAATAGATGATTTTCCTTGCCCTGTGAGCCCAAACAAAACTATATTAATTGGTTTACTAATTGGTTTATTCATTTCGATTTATAATAAAGACCAAATGATTTCAGGATGGTAGAAAATCTGTTTAAATTAATTTATTATGATGCATAAATTGTTTGAACGAGAAAGAAATTGCAGTTTTTACTTTTTCAAATAGCGGAACAAATCACCATTTTAGAGAGAGAACACGTATAAATACTATATATTCTGTTATTGTTGACCGATATATACTTTTTATTCGACTAATATGGTAAAGTCAAGTCTCCATTCTGTGATATTAGGTCTTAGAGTTTTTTTTTCTTTTTTTTGGTTATTTTTGTATTACCCAAATATAGCCAATAATAGTTGTCAAAACGGACCACCTAAAAGTCGAAAAACATAATCAGCCAGCCCCATTTAACATTCTTAATGCTTACTTAATACAGGTAGTTTAACATTTTATAGATAAATTCTCTTAGATTTCCAAAGCTTAAACGAATTTTCGTAATTCTGTTTTAACAAAGTTAGCTTCATCATCCAAAATTAGATTCCATATCTGGGGAATCACAGTAAAATTGTCTAATTTTATTAAATTCACGGTCATTTTTCTGATAAAGAAAAAATTTTTATTTTTTTTGTTAATGAATGCTTCTAGAAAGTTGTTTACCAATATATAATGAACGTTAAAAGTAAAAATGACTCGCTTGAATATTTTCCCTCGATCTCGTTTATCAGAATTTTAACATTTTTTTTTTTAAAAAAAAAGGGACAATTCCTTTAGAAATTCGCTATTTTGATTTTTAAGTGTTAATTTCATAAATTTCTCTCTTAGAAACTCTATCTATTTCTTAAAAAATATAGAAGAAATTAGACGACCAACCACTGGAATCGCCTGGACCGAGTCAAGAACCTCTAGTTTAATACCTTCATATTCTAAATTAAAAAGCTCATCAATTAAATGTAACAGACTTTGTATTCTTTTCTTTCGCTTAATTACACTTTCGTAAAATTTTTCATCTTCACTCCACGGAAAATCGACCGGAATAATCGGATGATCTCCAAGATTCTCCTTTATTGTTTTTGAGTATTTCTTGACCCACTCCGGACCACTATTAGTAATGATGATGATGAAATTTTTCTCTCCCCCCTCAAAGATCTCTTTAAATATTTTGAACATTTTACGATCTTCTTCCGTAAATCTACCTTTTTTTTTAACGAAAGCTATATAGTTGAGTGGCATCTTACATTCTGAAAAATAATTTCTTATCCTTTTGACAGCCTCCTTATGCGGAACACTTCCGCAATTTGTTTCACCTACTCCAATCGTATCGTGCACTATAAATGCATCATTAGCATTACATTTTATTTGAGCACTTGCACCGATAGCGTCGTCATTAACCACGAATTTATTTTCTTTATGACGAATGTCACCTTGTATCAGCATGTTAGCAATTGAGGATTTTCCTTGCCCGGTGAGTCCAAAAAGAACCACACTAATTTGTTCACTCATTTCGATTTATAAATTATGACGGAAAACAAAAAAAAATGTTTCAAGACGATAGACGTTGGTTACGAATTGATCTAATTTTTTTGAAATGGCCCATTTAAATACTATATAATTTTGCTATTGTTGCTCAATATATACTTATTGTTAGACTGATATAGTTACTCTCGCACAAAATCCACAAGAAATACAAAAAGAACATACAGTACATAACTTTCTTGACGTTCTAAGTTAACTTGCAGAGCGAGTCAAATAGCTAAATAGCTAATAGTTGTTAATTTCAAGTTTGAAGATGTAGTGAAAATTTTCATTTAAAATTTCGTTAGAGATGTGACATATTTTAATTTAATTCCATATACTTTAATAAATTTCAAATATGTATGTATGAAAAAAAACCTCCTTAATATGATTTAATAGATTTCTTACTAATAATATTATTCATACTCATTTGAGATTGGAGATCGATCATACAAATTAAGGTTTTGGTAAGGATATTGAATAACAATAATAAAAAAATATGTAACATAATTGGGCTAAATAAATTAACTAAAATAAATATATCTAGTACCTTTTTATAGCGTTGATGGCAGGTTTGATAAAATAATAGGTAGGCGTTTTCTTTTCTTTTCTTTTTTAGCTCTTTTTTGGTTAGATTGCTTTACTCCTTGGGGACTTTTTTTTTCCTCTCTTCCGGATCGTTAAAAAACTGATCTACGTCATATTCCATTTGAATGTTGCTATAATAATAAAAAAAAAATAGTTTATTTAAATTACCCAAATAACTAACGCTACCTATAAAGAAACTAACCAAATTTGATTTACCCAACTATCTGAAATTCATTGAATCTTATTTAGTTCTTGTAAAAAAACAAAAACTGGAAGAGAATCTTTACTTAGATTCCCGAAGCTTCAGATCATCCTGAAGAACAATACAAGGTTTCAGATTAAAATTAGATGAATTAAAGATTACACGACAGGTCAATAGAAAATGAGAAAATTTTTTTTATTGGCCACTTGACTAATATCAAAGATAGATTAATATCAAAATGCGGAAATGCTAGTATTAAAAACAAAGAATATCTCGAATATGTAAAATTGGCTTTTGAACCGAGCTTTTGACTATCAATTATATGCTGTTTACAGTTAATTATATGGATACTTTTGATGATGAATTCCGGAAAATATTTTTCATGGAGAGTATAATGATTGATACAGAAAGTGGTGAATGAGTGGTAAATAGCAGACGTCATTTATTAAACTTTAAAATGCGCTTTCTATTTTTTTCGTTGCGTGAAAATTTTTTACTTTTAACGCGCAATTGTTTTTAATGTAAATTTTTCGAAATAAACATGTCATAGTTTAAATTTCATATTATGAATTAATTAAAAAGTTGCTACATCAAACTTGTGTAACAAGTTAATAGCAAAATGGAGTAGTAGCTCAATCTCTAACTAGAAACTTTATCAGATTTCTTACAAAAAACAGAAGAAATAAGTTGACCAATCACTGGGATCGCCTGAATCGAGTCAAGGACCTCTAATTTAATACCCACGTAATTTAAACTACAAAGCTTATCAATTAAATGTAACAGACTTTTTGTTCTTTTATATCGTTTAAAGGCAGCATAATCATCATCATCATAATCTTCACTCCAAGGAAAATCGACCGGAATAATCGGATGATCTCCAAGATTCTCCTTTATTTTTTCTGAGTAATCCTCGACCCACTTCGGACCACTATTAGTAATGATGATGATGAAATTTGTTTCTCCCCCTTCAAAGATCTCTTTAAATATTTTGAACATTTTACGATCTTCTTCGGTAAATCTACCTTTTTTTTTAACGAAAGCTATATAATTGAGTGGCATCTTACATTTTGAAAAGTAATTTCTTATCTCTCTGACAGCCTTCCTATGCGGAACACTTCCGTAACTGGTTTCACCTACTCCAATCGTATCGTACACTATAAATTCTTCGTTAGAACTAAAATTTACCGTGATAGTCGCATCAACAGCACTATCATTAATTTCGAACACATTGCCTTTTTGAAAAATATCACCTTGAATCAACATGTTGGCAATAGATGACTTCCCTTGCCCTGTTAGTCCAAAAAGAACCATACTAATTCGCTTACTCATATTTTCAGGATGGTAGAAATCGAACTTATCAGGAAGTCTAATGTAGGACACAAAGTTTTTGTAGAGTCGCGTTAGTTCCGAAGTTAAGGAAAGGTTTAGAAATGTCTCCGAAATGTTGAATCAATGCCAGAAACTTAAAGTTACTCAAAGAAGAGTGGAGGGGATAGAGATTTAAAACGAGCCTTTAAATACTATATAAACATTTTATTCGTCCGATATAGTTACTCCAAATTACACATATTTTGATTAGCTGAAAACGATCAACGCCACAGTGATCGATATAACTAAAATCAAAATTCCTTTTTAGAATGTAGAATTGTGATGTAAATCGCTTTGATTTTAACTTTTTAAACTATATAAATTCAAATCCTAAATTTTTGAAGCATTCCTATTCTTATCAAATATATATTACTGACCCTGTAATGCTTCATAGTCTTATAAAAAGGTATTCACGAATCAAAATCAAAATTGCTTTTATAACATATTTTGTTCAATAAAATTATTATCTGATGTTAATTGCCAAGTTGTAAGTTCCCAACTTAATGGATTATAATCCCCAATTAACTTTGCATTTTTTTGCATTTTTGAAAGGCATAAATTATGAAGTATTCCATCTCGGCCACCAAAAATTTCAATAATTGCGTTCCCGATTATCTGAATTAACAAACCGGTATTGGAACATATTTCAAAGACTTTGGAGAGATGATCGGCTTTTAAGAGTAATTTTCATTTAGGTTTTAAATCAACCGGATTCGCGGTTTGACATTTAAAGATTTGCTAAGAATAAATCTGGATTCAATATACCCGATATATTCAGACCGGCCTTTTTTTACCCCAATTTTCCAATCAGCTGATATGAAGATACTTGTAGTTAGGCAAAAAATTAAATCTGATCAGAGAATAAAAGATTGTTCCGATCAAAAATTTCAAATTAATATAAGGATTTTCTGTTCACTTAACATTGAGATTTAAAAATCGACCCGGAGACCCGGAGTTTATTTTTTATTAATAAAAAAAGTTTATATATAGATATTATGCCATCTGATTGGTCAATCTTTAAGGGACAAGGCCGTGCAAAGTAAATTTTCAGATTCTGTGATCAGACGAAAATTCAGGATTTTTTTTTTATAGTAAATTTTTTTATACATAATAAAATCGACATATCAGATTTTGTAAAAGAAAGCGATACATATTTAAAAATTTACATATGAAAAAGAAAATTTTATCTAAAAATTTTCTTTTCCCAGCCTAATAAATACGACAATCACATTTCATTTCAAAATCATCTTAACTCCGTCAAAATGCCTATTATACATGTAAAAATAAGTTACAATTCTAAAGTTTTGAAAGATTGGGAACAAAAATAAATGATTTTTTTAGAAATATATAGATTCTATATTTATCACCTGACTGGTGGAAGCAGATTTTGAAGTGAAGTTTAACCCATCAAAAACATTAGTTGGAGAAAAGTTTCAGCACAATGTATTGTTTGGGAAGCTGCATGAAACTAATGAATTATACATAACGATAATACAATAAAGCTTTAATCTACCAATAAAATTACACTTTATAAGTCACATGATAAACTTTATATAAAAACTTTTTTTGTTAAAATTTGAAAAAGTGACCTGGCCGGGTGACGTGAACCGAAAAATCGAAGTTGCATGGCCTAAATTACATATGATTTTAATGAAATAATCAAAAAAGTGGTCTCAAATTATTGTTTAAGATTTATTGTAATACCTTTCTACATAAACTTAAAATATGAAATATAATGGTCGACCTTGTATATGTGACTTTACCCAAACCTTTGAATTATAAAATAAGTAATTTACTTAACTAATTATTTCAGCCCTAAGCTAATTTAAGCTTAAGTAAAATGTTTGATCTTGATTTACCGTTTTATACATATTCCAAAATATCTAATTTTTTGATTTTGTAAAGATCGCCCGATCATATGCTGTGTTATGATCGGTAAAAAATGATCGACATGGTGATATAAACATTGTCCGCTCTATTATCTTAACGCTCAATTTTGAATTTACTTAAGAAATGAAACCGATAGAAAAAAAAGATTCAATTTATTGAGAACAACATGAATGAATTTAATGAATTTAAGGAAAAAAAAAATAATAGTAGTATGGTATGATCTAGGAAATGACGTCCCATATTTCTAAAATCTTACGGGGAATGATCACAATAAAATTATAAAAAGATTGGTATTTCCTTTTAAGCAGAACAAAAAGTACTGCGCCATTGTCTTGTGTAATTTTTCACTTCTTATTATATATGTTCATTCATGATAATGACAATTTCCTATCTTTGCAAACTTTCTTATTTGGGCAGATTGGTGAAAAAAAATTGCTTTATAATAATCGCTATTCCTCAAATTCTTTTTACAAAAAAAAAAAAAATTCTTTCTAAAAGTTACCATGAACATAATAAATTCACTAGGAGCAAAAGATTTTATAGGAATAATTGTATCGATTATTCTTGTATACGTCGCAAGATTTTATTACAAGTATTTAACTCGACCAAATCCCTTACCGGGACCAGTTCCACTTCCTATTGTTGGAGATATATTAGCAATCTTTTATTATGCAAAAGGTGATGTGACACTATGGATGAAGTTACTACAGGAAAAACATGGGGACATTTTCGAAACGCATCTTGGAAGTTTTCGAAGAATTGTACTCGCTCGAGCAGATTATGTTGAAAAATTAATGTCATCGTCCACAAAAACCAATTACGTGTTAAGAACGGAAAAAATGCCACAATTAGATGAGTTAAACATTTCAAGAAAAGGAATTTTATTTAATACAGACATTCCTACTTGGAGATTTAATCGACAATTCTTTTCACAAGTTGTTCTTACACCAAGTTTCTCAAAAGAAGCTTTACTTCGGACTCCAATACTTTTCAATGAATTAAATGGATATTGGAAGGAAATTGGCGAAGATGTATCAATTGACTTTTCGATTTGGATTCATAAATTCACCACTGAATCTATCTTTCAATTGGTTGTTGGTTTAAAAGTTAGCGCAATGACAAAATATTTTAATGATAACGTAGAATTATCAAAGAGAAAGTATATTGAGCCAAGTCCAATAGATGAAAAAATTATAAATTTTGATGAAATCATTGACGTTCGTCTGAGAGCTACGGTATTTCTTTTTAATGTTCCTGCTTTTTTAAGACATACGATTTTAAAAAAAAAGAACGATGAAATGCATGAGAATAGAAATGAGACCCAAAAAATCATAATGAAGATTATTGATCATCGTCGAAAAGAAATTGAAGATCACAAGGAATTAGGAAGTGACATGTTGACATTATTAATCAAAGCAAATACTGAACAGGTTATTGATGAAAATTCTAAACCTTTAACCAATGATCAAATTTTTCAAATCTTAATTGAAGCTATTAGTGGAGGAATTGAAACAACCGCAAATTTATTATGTTTCGTCATATATCATATGGCTCATCATCCTAATGTATTAGTTCGCTTGAGAGAAGAACTTGATACCATTTTTGATTCTGATAATAATCGTCAAATGACGATGGAAGATCTTTCAAAAATGCGTTATACAGAAGCTATAATCAAAGAATGCACTCGTCTTATAACTCCCGCAAAATTTGTTCAACGTAACTCTTCCTTACCAGATACGATAGTCGATCGTGAATGGCCTGCAAATACTGCGTTCTATGCATATATTGAAGGAATTCATCATAACCCCATTCATTGGAAGGACCCGCTTAAATTCAATCCTGATCGATTTATGGATTCTGAACCACAAAAGAACACATTTTTGATGTTTGGAGGTGGAGTGCGGATTTGTCCAGGAAGAAAGTTAGCACTTGTAACAATGAAATGTCTAGTCTCTTTGATTTATAAAAATTTGGATATTACATTAGTAGACATGGATGCTCCTTTGAAATTAAAAAATAAATTAGTCAACGCCTGCACTGAATTAAAGATTAGAGTTAAGCAAAGAGAGACGCATTTTAAAGTATAAATCTACTAATTTGAATTGCAAACTCGTTATGCGGTTCATTAATTAAAGTTTATAGTTTCATTTTATATTTTTTTAAATCTTTTTTTTTAAAAAAAAAAAAAATTTTTTTGATTTCAAATTTTATCTTTAGAATAAAAAATTCTTTTTCCTTGAATTTCCGGACGAAGTTATTTCTTTCCACAAAATTAAACTGTTTGACCGGTTTTAAGGAATTAAGTGTGACGCGTTCGTAAAAAAAAAAAGTCATTGATTGCGCAGATTCTTCACAAACGTTTCCCATTTTCTAAATTTTTTATCCTCCGCAGTTACATTTACACCGCATAATCATTATTCTTATAAAACTTTATCAGTATTTGAAACCCTTTTAAAATCTTCATTTAGGATAAATAAACATTTACCACAACTTTTTAATTCTTTACGACCCATAACTTCTATGTGCTATTAAAATGGCACTCCTGTTAATATTTGTTCTGTTTCTATACTTATTTGTGAGAATTAGAATATTTCTAGATATAAATTGTTTTTGTCTTTATCCCATTATATTTGATATCTTCTCTAAAAGTTATTACAGAGCGCCAAATGAACAGTTCTCCTAATTTTTTTGTACTTAAACTTCGTTTGTTATAATTTATTAAATTGATTGATTTCTGCTTCCATTGTAAAATATCTTACCTCCTAAACATGACATGTGAAGGTAATAATACTGAAACCACGATTGCCACCACCTCTGCTGTTACTACAACCTTGATCGTAACTTGATCAGTTGCGATAGGTACGGTTTTCAAAAATGAGATGCGATGCAAAAACTCAATTGAAAAAAAAGATTAGTCTTATTAAAAAAAATTAAAAGAAAAATAAATTTTTTTATAAATAAAAAAACTTCACTTACCAAATTTCCGTGTCAAAGGAGCCTTCCTATTTTGAACGAGAAGTCAAATTACACAATTTTTTTACGTAAGTATAAAGTATGTATATGAGAAATAAAATTCAAAAAGTCGTTTAGACGAGAGTCAACTGTTAAGCTTTACTTATATATATATATTTTTATAGATGGATATACTCTTCCAACCTTTCCTACACTTGCAAAATATCACGTGAATTTTCGAGACAACTTTTTATGGATTTGTTGATCGAACATCGTTGTCTAGATTTGGCTATTTTAATCAATTTTTGTAATTCGTTTAGCAGCCACCTTTATAATAAATCACTAACTGCAGCCTAAAAGTTAAAATCTAAAGTAGAAAATTTTATAAAAAATAAAATAAATAGACACAAAGCAGCAAAAAGTAGATTTATCTGCGTCATTATATCTCGCAGGTCGTCGACTTCATTCTCTCCTGTACGCTCGTATTGATACTCATAAAGACAATCATGTTAAACGGCTTTCTTAACAAATTTCCACTTAATAAAACCATATTAAATAAGTAACTCGTACCATTTTAGATACGGGATAAGAAAATTGATTTTCAAAAATAATACTACGACATAGTACACATTTCCAATCAATAATAAATAGTCTAACTTTTCGAAAAATAAAGCTTAAAATATTAAATCATTATTTTTTTGTTTATATCGTTGCTAATAAATTTATAATATTTAAAACTAATTCAATATAGTATAAGATATCTTTTAAAATATCATGAATGAATTTTGTCATATGCTTCATATCCCTTCAACGGTTTTGCAATAGGAAATCGTGTGAATCAAGTGGCAGAACGTCGAAAATTTCAACAATTCTAATTCCCTTTTTCGTCAGATTTTCGAATACTTGCATTTACATAACTTTTATTTTTAGAATGTCAAAGGACATATACAGTATACGAGAAGAAATTCGAATTCGAATTTATATTGTCAAAACCATTCGCAATTTAATAATAGTATTTGATCATTATAATAAAGGAAGTTTTTATCTTTAAAAATATGTTAATATAATTTTGAATTAATTTTTCTTTAGTAACGGTAAGCTGTAATGGTCTGGAATATAAAAAAAAAATGAAATAGAATTCTTCTTTCTACATAGTAGACAATGAAAAACTCCTATAAATCTAGTTTATTTTCGACCTTATTCATCTATAATAAAATTATTATTTAACTTAGTGTGTGAAAGCAATATAATGTTTTTCCCAAATCACGGGGTATTTTTGAAATGATGTCATCATTTGTTCTTACGAATGACGTAACAGATGATCATTTGCTGATTGTTCATTGGCTAATTTTTGTTTTCGATCATCCTTTGAAGAAAATAAATAACGAGGATTTCTCAACTTCTTTTACCTTTATTCCATTATTTCTTTACTTTTGGTGTGTATTGTTTATGTGATATTTTTTTTTTTAAAGAAATTTTCAAAAGGATTAAAGTAAAAATAACATTTTATTATTTTTAAGGAATCTTTTAAACGATGACTCGACAAACTCGACAGGTTCGCGTTCAAGGTGTCAATCGTGCTGTTGTCGCGCCAAGGCGACGTGTTATTTCTTCAACTTCCCTTACTCCCATTCCCCCTTCAGTGCCCTCTTCTTCTGCTCCTTTAACAGCTGTACCTTCTTCTCCTTCCCCTTCTCCAACAGCTGCTTCTCCTTCCTTAGTTTTTTACCCTCACTCTCCTACTTTTCCTGTTTCTTCTCCCACTTCCTCTATTTCTTCCACTGGCCCAAACTTTTCTCCTTCTCCTTTCCCTTCTCCTATTCCTGTAACTTCTTCCGTTGTTCCCCTTCCCCTTCCTGCTCTTTCTCTTCCTCCTCCTACTCTTCCTAATACAAATTTATATCGTTCTCCTCCTTCTCCTCCTTCCCCTTCTTTAAGTTTATCCCCTTCTTCATCTCCTTTATCAACTCCTTCTGTCTCTTCTTCTTCCTGTTCTTCCACTCCCACTTATACCCTTCCTGTTTTTAATCGTCCCTTTGTAAATTATAGACTTCTTAGGTGGCCAGAGCCGATGGATCTTGATCCACCTGGCATTTATATTGAAACCCCTTTCATCCCACCTAATCAATGGCCTGAACCAATGGATCTTGATCCTCCTGGTATCTACGTTGCCATTGATTATGG